TCAATTTCCCGTTTGTAATACAAAATGACTGAAAATTGCAAATTTCGCAAGGTTATATTATCCGCATTTTACAACATTTCGCAACGAAACTTTGGAATATTATTAATTTTGTGATGCTCTTTCAAGCTGTGATGAAATTTTTGTCTAGACTTGTTTAGATCAAAATTTTGTCTATTGCGCAAATGGTCAATTGTGTTCATGAAATAATACAACTAGGTTACATTTTTTAAAATATGACACATCTTTATATTTCTGATTCTTATGAATAATAAAAATCACTTTCTTAATTATAGTAAACTATAATCATTTTGAAAATTATAATATTCTATTGAGTATTGTATTTTTTCGACATTTGACCTTGTCTGCTAGCAAAATGCCTAATGTAAACAAAGCAAGCGAAGGGGCCTATTGTATTTCATGATTCGCCCATTTCTGGGCTATGACATGTCTTTGCCATATTATTTGTCCTAAAGACCTAACGGATTTGATTTCTAAATCATAAACATCTATTCTTTATAAAGTTATAGTAAATTTTTCATTACCAGTAAATGTGAAAACATTTTGAAACACTTGTTCTTTGTATTATTCAATTTATTTGAGGTGCCGAACTTGCCAGTTTGCAAAAATATGCAAATAAAACAAGGAATTTTATTATATTTATAAATTATAAAATGATATTATATATGGTTATGGGGTGTGACATTATTTATTCATATAAGTCATGGATCATTTTGGCAAATTACGACATATGAATGTAAGTATAATCCCTGGAAATTATCTGGATTGACCCATTGCCTTGGCATTGCTTTGTTTACATTTGGCAATGAAATGGTTTCATCTGTTATAAAGAACTGAACAAGATTTTCAAAATGACAAGACAAGTTTGTTCTATTTAAGCAAGTGATTTTTACAGTATGATTCAAGAATAAAAATCTAAATTTAGGGCAAAGTGACCCAGGACCATAAATACATTTAATCTTTCTTTGTTTATGCATTTTGCAGGCAAAACTAGAATCGCGACTTTATTCAAAGATCAATTTTCTCTTGCATACCTATCGGTAACAATAGAACAAGTTCAGTTTGCCTTTGGAGTTTCTCTTTTAGTTTTAAATCACATAAAAACCTATTTAATCACCTTCTCACCAACTTTATACGACACATCATGACGTCCAAATTCAAGCAAACCAACGCCTCTGACTCTGTATTGATCAGTGGACGAGGCGTTTTGTTCACAATAATTTCCGTCATTCTGGCTGGCATTGACAAAACCGAGGGCAAAGTGAATATATTCTACTGGATCAGGTTCAACAACAGCCTACAGTTCTTTGCCGTTTTGTCTCGATATTTCTGTATATAAATCAAGAAACCGAGATAGAATATATACTTATATAGCAACAGCGTATATGTGTTTGACCTGCACTCTCAGCCATAAAGTTAGTATCTCGCCCAATCTGCCTGTCAGTTGGATAACCGAAGGTTAAGGATATAGTTCCATTTAAATTTCAATCGAAATATCGAAGAAATTTCCAGAAACATCTAATTTATACTCGATTTTGTCAAGAAACTACAGTAAATCATATGTATTTTGTTTTGATGACTTCCCGGTTTGACGTCACGCCGGCATTCTCGCCCCAGTACTTTTATGCTGGCGGCCAAACGCTCAAAATAGGCAAAATCGCCAACTTTGAGCCCCCGAAAGTCCATGAAGATCAAATTTTCGAATTATAAAATATATTGCAAAAGTTCTTAAAATCATCTAAACTATCTAAATAGGCTGATTCCCAAACTATGACATAGGCACTTTAATTTTCACAATAACATTCAAACACAATATGCAAATGTCCGACATACCTATCATCTACATACTATTCTTTCATGCGCACATGTTGCATAATTATGAAATCACAATCTAAATAATTTTCCGCTGGCTCATCCGATGCATAATTTGCATATATTATAGAACACGTAACCTGGCACTAATGCACAGACGCTACTTAGCGCCCCCATTTCCGCCACGAGCGTCTGTGACGCAGGCTACGGAATCCTCAGCATGGACAATCCAGGACAAATCAGTGTCATAACAGTCCATTTCAAACCAGCAGAAAGCTTCACTTGTTTTAAAACAATAAACAAGTTTTTATGTATCATATAACAAATTAAGTGGCATGTTATTATATTGTGGGATCTTTTTCTGAGCTGAAGTGGGATCTCTGATCAATTTAATAAATATTATATAAATAGACATCTTCTTGTTTTATTGTTGCATTAATTTTAATCTGAAAAAATACTCACAAAGTAGGTCAAGTGTATGAATTAATTTTTCATAAGTTTATTTACTAAAGTACATTTTTTACAGTTATTTATGTACATACTTGGTCTTATTTGCATGAGTGTACATGACAGATTGTTTTACTTAGATATACCCAGTTATCATTCATAACCTATGATTTGTTTAAAAAATGCTGGAAAAACTAAAAAAGTTAGCCAATTGAAATAAATGCACAAATAACTTGCTAAACATACCTATGGTAGTTGCTATTTATTATATAAAAAACATATGTCAACATACACTCATGCTTTTTCCTACTACTCGAGTCTCCACTCACCAGGTGTCTTTATGAAAATTTTTGGATAAAATCCTATTTTAAAAAAGTCAACCCTATACTTGATACACAGAACATAGACATCCAGGACATCTCCTGCAGCAATTAGTGGGTGCAAATACTTGCATAGTTCAGAAGCAATATAAACAACATGTGTCCATACAGTTCCATAGTCTAGATCAATAGGCAATTCCAGCTTTTAATTTATGCATGCAGGGGGTGACGGGAAGTAAGGTATCATATTCCTGATTATGCTGAAAATTTTTAATAAACTGCCTAAACAACCAAAATATTTCAATATTTACAATAGCTATCACTCCATGTTTACATGGCTACCATTTCTATTTTTCAGCATTATCAGCAATATGATACCATCACCCCCTGCACACATAATCTAAAAGCTGGAATTGGCTATTGCACTTGGGTCCCTTGGATTCAATGGTGCTGGCCGTATTCTTACATTGAATTCACTGTTTTATCTTGTTCATGAAGAGCGAGGTATTATGCCTTAATTTTCCAAATGATGTCAGTAGTTTTTCTCATGAGCAGCACCGATGCACTTGAATGGTACAGAGTGGGCGATTTCTTCCTCCCCATCACTTTCGTCTTCATCACTTAACTTGTCATCTCTTTATGCCCTATCACCTTGATCACCTCTTTCATTATCATATACATCTTGAACAGGTTCAAGACCAGCCAACCACTCAAGTAAATCTCTTTCTACAAAATCATAACAAGGAAATTATTATGTATCAAAGATACATTGTCATCTCTAAAATTAGCAAAAAATATACAAACAGCAATATTTAGATGAAAATTTAAAAAAAAATATTAAATTACAGTTTCCACATTTAAACAACCACCCACAACTAGATGCAAACAGGCATCACACTCAGCAAAAATTTATAAAACCATACAAAAACTGAATAACAATATACCTTCAGACTCATCTGAGAACCAATGTTCATCATCTGAATGTTCATCATCAATACTATTCGCTGTCAATATATGATCCACATCGAAATCGAAAAGCATATGCTGGGTGTTTTCGTTAGCAAACTCATCAGGAGAAGGGGCAAACTAAAGGGTTAAATTATTAGAAATATTACGCCATAATTTGTACAGTGTATTTATAAAATTACAGTACAATTATATTGAAAACAGCAAAGCGGAAATTTGACCAAATAACAAGTCAACTGTATTAAATGCATTGTAATATACTAACCTTAAATACTGCTCTTGCAGTTTTCACGTTGATGATACACAGAGATTTAACGCCATCCAACTTAGAAAGAAGGGCCTCGCAATTGGGAATATAAACACAATTCCTTCGCTTTGACAGACGGATTATTTATAAAGCTAAAATGACAGCACGTCCCATGCAATTTAATATAAGGTAAACTTGGTATAGTAAAACACAAGTCATAATGACGATCGCAACAATACAGCAATAGCATGCTATTTTCACGAAGTTTTGCAGCCTGACAATCTTGTATTTCGAATGCTTCCATATTTGTTTACTCAGAGAGATGTTCACTCCACGACAGTCAAAGAGTCATTAAAGCCACGCCTGGAATTAGGCGCTCGAACCCATGATGCTTTGCGGCCTGCTTGTCGAACCTCCTCTGTATATTATGGTTGTCTTTCAGAGTGGGCCCTGCAAAGAAACATAAATAAAGAGCTTCATGAACAAAGCGAGGAAGAACTTGATCAAAACCTGAGAGTTTTCTATGCAGAAGTGAGAAACAAGACCGGCGAAAACTACGGAAAGTCAACCCTACTCGGCTTGAGAAGCGGCATTGAGCGGCATTTAAACTACCCCCCTCACAACAGAGGAATCAAATTTTCTAAAAATCCTGCCTTCATGAAGTCCAACATGATACTCGATGCGAAAATTAAAAATTTAAAGCAACTCGGGAAACAAAATACAAAGCACAAACCTGCCATAACGACGCCAGACCTTCAAAAGCTGAGAGTTCGTCCAG